TGCAATCTCTATGGAAAACAGTATGGAGATTTCTCAAAGAACTAAAAATAGATCTACCATTTGATCTAGCAAAAATCATATCAGAAAGATATTTGCCCTCATATTTTATTGTAGCACTATTCGCAATAGTAAAGATAGGGAATCAACCTAAATGTCCATCAACATACGACTGGATAAAGAAAATGCAGTGTATATATATATTCCATGGAATATTACTCAGCCACAAAAAAATGAAATCGTGTCTTTTGCAGCAACATGGATGGAACTGGAGGCCATCATCTTAAGTGAAATAACTCAGAAACAGTCAAATACTGCATGTTCTCACTTATAAGTGGGAGCTAAATAATATGTACACATGGACAGAGAAAAGGGAATGACAGACACTGGAGACTCAGAAAGGCAGGAGGGTAGGAGAGTGGGAAGGGGAAGTGGGATAAGAAACTACCTAATGGGCACTAATACACTAGTCGGCCGATCATTACACAAAAAGCCCAGACTTCACCACTATGCAACATATCCATGTAACAAAACTGCACTTATACTATGTCTATAAACATAATTTAAAAAAATAATTTCATGAGCTTGTTGGCTATGAGCACATTCTTTACTGTCATAAGTAACACTGCAATATTACTTTGCTCAAATAAAAATGATGTCCAGTTGAGAAAAAAAAATTAAAAAGTCAGGCAATACCAAGTGTTGGCAAGAGTACAGAGCAACAGCAATTCTCATGCATTTCTAGTGGGAGAGTAAATTGGTATAACTACTTTGTATTTACTGTACAAACTAGTAATTATACTTCTAGGTATATGTCTTAGAGAAACCTTTGCACATATACAAAAATATTTATAGTAGTATTATTTTTAACAGAAAAAAGTACAAAAGAAGACATCCATCAATAGTAAAATATATAAATAGGCTATGGTGTTTTCAGACAATAGAATACTATACTGCATAATAATGAATGAATTACAGCTACATACATACCTCAACCTGGGTAAGTTATAAAAATGTTAATATCGTGAAAGAAGCAAGTCACAAAACAATACATATATGGTGTGATTCCATTAATATAAAGTTCAAAGACATACATTTTTAACCACATATATGTGTGTTTATACAGACATATGTATGTACATACATGCTTTTTTAAAAAAATATAAAGAAAAGGCCGGGCACAGTGGCATATGCCTAAAGTCCCAGCTACAAGGGAGGCTGAGGCAGGAGGATCTCTTGAGCCCAGGAGTTTGAGTCCTGCCTGGGCAACATAGTAAGACCCTGTCTCTTAAAAAAACAAAATTATAAAGAAAAGGGAATGACTAATACAAAATTTAAGTAGTGACTGTCATAGAGAAGGAGGGGATTCAATCAGACAGGGGTTGTGGGGCATGATTATGTTCTATTTCTTGGCCTATGCAGTATGTATGTGAGTGTCTTCTTCACAATTATTTCTTTAATTGTGTGTGTGTGTGTGTGTATATATTAAATATGTATGGTTTATATAAATTTTCAAAGGAAAAAAAGAGGTATTTTACTGTTCAAGATGGTTAATTGGTCAATAATGGAAGGTAAGTGACAGAGACAGGGCTACCTCTACAAATGGGATTGTTTCTCAGTCCTAGGAACACTCCTTCAAAAGTTGTAATTTTAAAAATGAAACTGATGCATTCAAAGAAATAGATGGAGGCTGGGTGTGGTGGTTCACGCTTGTAATTTCAGCACTTTGGGAGGCTGAGGTAACAGGATCACTTGAGCATAGGAGTTCAAGACCAACCTGGGCAACATGGTGAGACCTCATCTCTACAAAAAATAAGAAAAATTATCTAGCCATGGTGGCATGAGCCTGTAGTCCCAGTTACCCAGGAGGGTGAGGCAGGTGGCTCATTTGAGCCCAGGAATTCAAGGCTACAGTGTGCCACGACTGTGCCACTGCACTCTAGCCTGGGCAACAAGCTAGACCCCATCTCTTAAAAAAAAGAAAAGAAAAAAACCCCAATGAGAAAATTGGGACTATTCCCAACTTAGGAAAATACAGTCTATTTCTTATAGGACCTAATAATCTAGATGACAGACAACAGTAACATACATACACACAATAAGGAAACCCAAATAAAACACTGGGGTTCATACCTTTTCCCACCCTCCACCAACTCGGAAGGCAATAAAAACCATCCAGAAAGATCACTGCTCCTTATTGCAACATCTTGTTTTTCTCAAGTCCCCTTCCAATCCCTTGGCAGCCTTATTTCTCTCTTCTACAAGTGTCTTGTGCCCTTGGACTTAATCACTCCTCCCCCTTAACTCATTTTCAGGAGTTTCAATATTTATATTCGCAAATTTTTTTTTAGCCAGTCAAATTTAGCAGTGGGGGGTTTATATTCACAAAATTTACAGCATATCCTCACCTTTCTCAACTGTCACTCATTAATATGTGGTGCTATGCTGATAAAATGGTGAAGACAATCTCTGCCCTCAAAAAACTTACAGACTAGTGAGAAAATCGAACAAAAACTAGTCAATTACAACACAGTATGAGAATGCAATGACACAACAAAGGAAAGGCACTTCCCTGAGCCTAAAGGAATTGGATTCTCTCTAGACCTATCCTAGACAGCTGGTCCATCTTCTTCCTCCTTCAGCTGGGAAATGGTGGACAGAGGCTCACGGCCTCACCACCAATCTATTCTGCCCCACATTGAGATCCACAGATTCTGAAATCCCATTCTGACCACAACCGCCTCTTGACTGCCTCCTCCATTTGAACCTGTAAGGGTTCCTTGTTGTAACTTCTAGTTCCAGGGTTTTCTCTTTCCCTAGAGTCCATTCACACCCTCACCTGGCAGGTGGACCAGTGATTTTTCTCCTTACTCTCCTAGATTGTTCGCCGCCGCATTTGCTCTTAGGACATGCCTGCCTTGCCAATCCCTTACCTTTTTCTCTTCTGCTCCTGGACTACAGAGGAAGTCACAACACAGGTCTTTTCCAAATGCATGCCAATTAACTTCCACTCAGGCTCACATTTCAGAACTTCTGCCTAGAAGGCCTTTCCACACCCTTTGTGGTGAACGTCTATTCAACCTTCGAAGACTGGTTCCAAAGTTACTTTTTCTAGGAAGCATCTTCTGATCCCTTGTAGCATCTCTTCTCTGACCCTCCCAGGCCCTCTTCCACATCTATCCTGCAATGCCTGCTGGCAGCTGGGATCCTTTGTACACCTCCTTCCCCATGGTGGTGAGCCTGGGAGGGAAATCATGTGATCTTTGTCTGCCTATCCCAGAACAGAACACAGCTCTCCTACTTTGTCATTCATTCATTCAACACACTTTCCTAATGCCATCTATGTGCTAAGCACTGGGCTGAAGGACTGAATGAATGACCTACCCGACCACATTCCTCACTCATTGATTCAGTAACTTTTCCAGTCTCCTCAAAGACATCAAACTTGGCCGGGCGCGGTGGCTCACGCCTGTAATCCTAGCTCTCTTGGAGGCCGAGGCGGGAGGATTGTTTGAGCTCAGGAGTTCAAGACCAGCCTGAGCAAGAGCAAGACCCCGTCTCTACTAAAAATAGAAAGAAATTAATTGGACAACTAAAAATATACAGAAAAATTAGCCGGGCATGGTGGCACATGCCTGTAGTCCCAGCTACTCGGGAGGCTGAGGCAGAAGGATCGCTTGAGCCCAGGAGTGTGAGGTTGCTGTGAGCTAGACCGATGCCACAGCACTCACTCTAGCCCGGGCAACAGAGTGAGACTCTGTCTCAAAAAAAAGACACCAAACTTAGCTGTTAGGCATCCACCCTAGTGTATCCCTCAGAAGATGGCAATGCCTAAGATTATCTTGAGAGCCTATCTCACACAAGGCCCTTCTCTTATTCTTTTTATTTCATTTATTTTTTAGAGACAGGGTCTTGCTCTGTCATCCAAGCTGGAGTGCAGTGGCATAATCATAGCTCACTCTAACCTCAAACCT